GGGGGTGATCACGAACGGAATGGACTTACACGTGAGGGAAGATCTGGTCGGCAGATCTCCGGCACGGTGGGGGATCTTTACCTAATGTCGCGGAGCTAGACTCGACGCGACCAGGCAACGCCTACAACAAAGAAACTAATACGATCTAACCCAAGGGCGGCGAGCGCGAAGGCTTGCTAACGCCGAGCGTAGACTTTCAAGTCAAATCTAGCCCAAGGACCAAGTTAATATTATGCTGACTAAGAGAATACAAAGGACGGCTTACCTAGCCCAAGGACCAAGAGGTCAAGATGAGGGCTAGGGTCGCTACAGGTGGGGTTTATATACTGAGTCAGGGGAGCCAAACATGTACAAACGTAACGGTGGTCTGTGCGCACATTAGTGCCGGTCTGCAGGTGGGGGTCAGGTGACTGGTCACATGCTTCTAACTACTGGTTCTAAGTCTAAGTGTCGTACAAATGGCCGTAGAAAATAAGGAAAACGCGGAAAAAATATAGGGGTCTCGTCGTTTCCACGACAGGCGTTGAGTCAGGAAGGTTAGCCTAACCGGGGCACGCTCTACCTGGTGCGTGTTCGGGTTTCCTGATCTATTTGTTTGTAAAAGCCACCGTGGTCTCCGCCGTCCTGGTATTCAACAGCTCTGCGCGCTCCTTTCAGATACCATAAGATGGGCCTACGGAACCTACTTGTCGGTTGAAGCCCTCCCTCTACGCCACCACCGCCGCTCTTGAGAATCCTCTCCGTTGCCTTTGCGCCATGCCCCCTCAACGCCCTCGCATCCTGATATCTCAAGAATCTGAACCATGCCTTGATACGGAAGGGTCCCCTTCCACGCCGCGCGCCGCCACCTCATATGACGCGAGTACGCCTCCCTCCCATGACGGCGCTTCGTATGCGGTCCTGACCCTCTGCTGAATGCCAGTTACACCAACGGAGACGACTATCCAGGAGCCGACGTGCTCTGCTGAGCCGTGCTATTGCGAGGAAGACATGGACGCCACCGGATATCCCAACGGGAAGATCATGTACCGGGTCGACATGGAAAACATCCATAGCTGGACTGCGCATACCGGCCCAGTTCTGGCCCTCGCGTTCAATAACCGCAACGACAAACTGGTGTCTGCAGGTGCGGATGGGCTCATCGTGGTGTGGGATATCTGTGCCGCGGAGAGGCCTGTCGAGCAGCCATTGTGGGGGCACACGAAACCCGTGCGCGCGCTTCAGTGGTCCGCGGTCTGGTCGGACCGGCTCGCGTCCGGCGCGGACGATGGGACGGTACGCATCTGGGACGTGGATACGGGGGAGATCCTCTCTGTGAAGAGGTGCCATACATCTGCTGTGAAAGATCTGTACTTCCTGGGCGGCGGAGACAAGAACGACCAAGACGACGAAGAGGATAGCGGCGCAGGTGGCTTGGTCGACATACCCAAGCAAGATCGTCTCTTTTCTGTGGACGAGAACGAGGTCAATCGTTTCTGGTACCTCACAGAGGCTGGCTCTCTGAGGCCCGCGCCGCAGGAGGACAACGTAATACCATGCTCGCTCGCCCCTGATATCGGTGATAATGTTGAGCCTGAAGATGACGACTAGAAGGAGCTCTCAACTCTACTGGTCGCACTTTTTGGAGGAAGATCACGACGAACTCTATGCGCAGGACCAGTACTGGCAGGCCACAATCGGCATTCTGTCGCGCCATGGGGAGAGATGGCTACCATACCATGTACCGTTGGCGGGGCTCGTATAGGGCGGGTCTCTGACGAGCTCGACGTCGATGTAACATTGTCTTCGAGACCTCATAATCATGACACTTCTATTTTTCAGTGACTAGAGGTATAAACGTGAGTGGGGACGTAAAAACTGCCTGCGCCGGGGAAGAGTCCAAAAGTACCGGGAGAGCCCCATCGGAATCGGCCGCAGCCTTCCGCGGCATTGTGGCGTCAGCGCCTACGCGGTAGGCTTCGGCGCCTCGTCCGATGACGCGTCTTGTCTCTCTACCTCCACCCTCGGTCCTGAACATCAGCAACATAGATCTGAACCTGCAGCATTCTGTCTGTCTACTTCAGGTAGAGGTGGTTATGATTCAAAATCTTGGCCCCGGTGATCATCACAAGCTCGCGCGTTCGCCTGCTTACTCTAGATTTGCGTGGTCTGGCAACCGTCTGCCTTCGAGTCGCCGACAGGTCTCCTTCATTCAAACTGTGTCCGCTTGAAGCTGAATGATGATTCATCACGACTGTACGTATATTTGGCTGAGTCTATCATGATTAGCATGCTCCTGATCGTAGTAACCATCTGCACTGTTGGATTCAGCATGACGCCAACCACAATACTTCGTTTCCACGACACTCTCAAAAGTCAGTATGGCGGCAGATTATAAGAGCGATAAACACGTTCTCAGAACTATACGGTGAGTATATAACTATCTGTTCAGGTTCATCCATTGTGAGGGTATCCAGTTCGTCACAGTCGGCGCTCGCCGCTGTGTTCAAGAATGCAATCATCAAGTATTCTGTGAATATATAATGCCTTCCGTGAGGGCTCACAACTCCTCCGGTACATGTGTTCTGCGTAACGCCGTCATACCATGCGCTTCAAGCTCGTATCCGCCAGTGTTACACTCGCTGCACGGCCGTCGTGAAGTCCTCTCAGCTTTTGGCGGTTGCGACTCCCCCGTCTGCTCTCCTCGGTCCGGAAACTCCATCGTCAACAGAGAAACCGTCCTCCGAGGATGTCATAGGTACAGTTTGCACAAATTTTGACCAGTCGTTCTCAACTGATCCGCCGTACATCCGTACTGTCCGGATCAGACCATAGCGGGCCCGGTTGTGACGTGTGACCGGTTTGATACGTAGCGGGCGTGCGGGGAGGCGCCCAAAATTACCATATATGGCAATTTGGCGCCGGTTTCGGAGCCAAATTTGGGCGCTTAGGGCTCCAAAACCCCGAGTGACCAGTGACCGGCCAGAAAATAGCGGGGCGGGGACCCCCCTGTGACATGTGACGCCCCGCTATGGTCTGATCACCACAGTAGTCTCCTCTTCGTCCGAACCCCGAAGTAGCAGAATTAAGAGCTCTTGGAGCGTGGCTATCCACTGCGTTGCGCAGACCAACAACACCACACGCAAGTCCGTCGTCAAAGCTACTAGGGATCCGGTAGAATCATCACTGACGGAGTTTGGAGGTGGTAGTGACCAGTCTTGCCTTCTCCCACAACAAGTGTATCGCGAGTGGCTCGACCTCCGGAGAAATCGTTCTCTGGGACATATGCGCTCGATCTGTTGTCATCCGACGGTACGCTCCCAGCCATACCTATTGTAGCGTCGGCGCCCCTTCGTCGCCCGTCATCTTCGCGCTCGCATTTTCTCCTGACGCCAAGTACCTCGCATCCGGCGGTGGCGACTGCAACGTCAACATACGGCATGTTCTCACGGCAACACACGTCGTAACGTTGCCAGAGAACACGGCGCCAGTTTGCACACTGGCGTGGCCGCCCAAGGGCAATCAACTCGTATCTGAATCTGACGACAAACCTGCACGCCTCTGGGACACTCACACCTGGCAACAGTAGTACGTGGTCGTTTGCGACGCTAACTTTACCGCCGTCGGCTCCTCGTATTCAGTCGAGTATCTGTGAATCTGGTACCTGTTGGCCGACACCCGGGGCCCTTACTGGGATATTGCAATGGGTGCTCTGTGCGCGCAGCCCCGCAACGGACACGGAGTCGTCGACGTCAGCGTCGCATTCCTGCGTGGACGGGGGAGCAAAGAGTCGCCTGAGCGCACTCTTGATGAACTCTGAACCTGGAAGGCTGTAAGCCGCACAAAGAGAGGTCTTCAGTCTGTGAGAGAACGACTATGATTGCATAGTACTGTACCTGTAAGCCGCACAAAGAGAGGCTACAAGTACTAGTAAGTAAACATGTAAGGAAGCATAGGTAGTGTGGGACTTACTCTTCAGTCTGTGAGAGAACGACTGAAGAGCAGAGGCCTGCAGAGTCCTCCTTATATACTACTGGGGAGACGATGAGTAAGCGTATAAGAAGAGAGCATGTGACGTCCAGAGGACGCTGACTGAGCGATGAGTAACGCTGAGTAAGGGAGCATAATCGACATAAGGTCAGATAGTCCATGGCTGAGTAATG